GTGGGGCTGGAACCGGGCCAGAGGAGGGGGCTACAGCCACCTCAAAATTTGCTGTGGCTCTCTGCCAGTACCACCTTCTGCCTTGAGCACAGCTTGGGGCCAACCCCCCTGCTGAGAAGAGGCTGACGCAGCCTCTGGCCCCTAGTACACAGTTGCAGCCAGCCCTCACCCCATGCACAGATACGGGGGGCACATGATCCCTATGTCTCCTGAGGTTGTGCACAGAGGCAAGAGACACTGCCCTCGCACCCCCCAGATGAGCCATGGCTCTGTCTTGTGCCCCTACCCTCCCCTGGCTGTGCAGCAACTGCCCCTGCCCCACTCCCTCCCTCACTGCATGGGCCTCACTCGCCCCATCTCCAACCCCCCTCCCTCCCCCCCCCAACAGACTTAGCATCTGGATGCTGCTCTCTGAGCTTCCGGGCTGCATATCGGCACTCTGATAGGTATTGGCTGATATGGCCAATTAATAATCGGCCCTCAGTATCAGCCCAAAAAATCTTTATTGGCACACCCCTAATTTATTTAATAATATTAAAAAGTTATGAGTCTTTTTCTCACCTATACGAGCTCCTGAAATGTATTACCCTAATTAGACTGCAGTTGTGCTATTGAGAAGTGGGATTATAGTATTGTCTTAGTTGTTGATGACCAAATGTTGTCTCAAGCCCTTTCAGTACAGACTAAGGGCCACGGAAAAACAAATACTGGAGAAAATGCAAGAAAAAATCCTACTCAATCATAATACATAATTTTACTTTGTCAGAAGTTATATCAAAATCTGAAGATGGTGATATGAACAATCACTTACCATTCTAATAAGTCTGCAGACTTTCTGCAAGTAGTTGATCATCATTGGTGCCATCTATTCTTTACACAGATGCAGAATATATTGATACCAAGTACTGTCCCTCCCTGCCATTTTGTGTACAGTTTACACTGAAATAAATTGCATACCTGGTTTTAATTTTTGCTCCTTAGCCTAAAAGCTTGTCTTTCTTGGTAGAAAGCAATCGAACTGAATCCCAAAGATGCTACTTCAGTTCACCTTATGGGCATTTGGTAAGATATTACTTCTTTTGAACCGTTTTCTTTTCTAGTGACAAAGTAAAAGCTTCTAGCTATTGTAGGTAAAATATAAAATAGTTGAGCAATGACTTGCAAAAATCTTTAAAATAGCTCAGTGGCTCAGCCATCCTAGATTACCCTTTTTAAAACTGTCCTAAGTAACATTTCAAAGTGTCCTATCATTTTAGTTTCAGAAATAAAAACTAGTTGTTTAGTGACTTCCTTTCTTCAATCGCAGCACCTTGCATTACTGAATAATAACAGATTTAAATTTACTTTTAGGGCATGCCCAGGAGCTGTGGAGCTTTATTTTATAGACCTGAGTGTCTACCTCAAGGGATTTGGGGACCTCTAGTATCAGACTCTAGTGCTTTTCATCATTGACTTTTTAATGCAGCCAAAACTCGACCGCATAATTTAAATGTAGGCTGTAGTTAAGGAGTGTGTAAAGACTGGTGTGGAGCAAATGATAGATCTGTACAAATATTTTCACTTTTCCTATCAAAGCATGCTATGGTTTTTAAAAAGTTCCTGAAATTGTCTATTTTAGTATTAACATAAGTCTGAAAAATGGATCAGTGACATTCTGCTAGGGTTTCACTGTCACCTTATCTCATTTGGGTGCATGCTTTCTACTAGTAAGCTTAGGTTTAAGTTTCACTTCTCCAGACCTCTTCCACACCAGCATCACCTCAGCCCTCCCCAAAAAGTAATTTTGCATATGCTGTAGCATGGAATTTAATGCATTGTTTTCTTAGCATGGTTATCTAGTAAGTTTGGATTCAAACCTGCTTCTGGACTATGTTGTTTTAGACTTCACCAGTAATACTTATGTGTAGTGCTTTACATGTTTAAAACACTTCACAATCATTAATCCTTACAGCATTCCTCTGAGCTATTACTTGCATAGTTTTGCACATATGGTAAAACTCAGGGAGAGAATAGAAGGGACTAGGGCTGTGCAAAGCTTTGGTCACTGATTTGATTTTGAGGAGATTTGGCCTGATTCAGTGACCGAACAAATCTCTGAATCAGATCAAGAGGCCCATTAATTTCTCTGAATTGAATCGGAAGCCTCGAATTCAATTTGGAGAGATTTGACAATTCGGCCATATAAAGCTGTGTCCTATGTTTTTTCTGTGTACCTTGAGGTACCAGGTACAGCTCGTGAACACTGAGATGGTCGGGTGGACGGAGCCTCCCACAGGAGCGTGGGGGGGGGTCTCCTGCGCGCTCGGCGGTGGACCAGAAGTACTTCTGGGTCCACCGCAGAGCATGCAGGGAACTCCCCCACCCCCTGGTTCAGCAACTGGTGCCTCCTGGGTCTGGGGGAGCACCCGGAGTCCTCTGCAGTGGGCCCAGAAATGGACTGGAAGTACTCCTGGTCTACTTCCAGGTCTGCCGCCAAGCATGTGGGGGACCCCCCTGTGCTCCCATGGGGGGGATGCTCCAGTTGCCCCACCATCTCAATGTTCATGAGCTGCACCTTGTACCTCAAGGTACGGAGAGAAAACCTGTTAAACATTTTCTTGGCTGAATTGCTGATTCTCTGAATTGGAATCAAATCTTCAGATTCAGATTCGGCCAAATCGAATCAGGACAGTGATCCAAATCAGCGAATCAAATCACTGTCCCTTGAATTGGTCCAAATGCAATACTGCCTGCTTTTCACACCCTTGGAAGGGGCTTCCCTGGAAGGTGGAACAGGGATTAGAACTTGAGGTTGACTTCCAGGTCTGTTCTTATTCCTTTTATCTAGTATGATGTAGCTTTTCAAAGCGTACATTGGTGGAGGAGGGGTGGGGGTTCTTTTCCTGAGAGGGGCAAGTTTAATACTGAAGTGGCATGTCCTGTGATTAAGTGCACAGGATTGTCACAAAAATATAAGAACATGCAAATGGATAGAGTGACTAGATACATCCGTGTGGTACAAGCAAGGTGCCTGCATTCAGTTGAAACAAGAAGTGACTTTTTTTGTCTATGTCAGTCAAATTGAGCTGTATGTGTTACAGCTGCTTTAGTTCTGGAACTTGGATGTTGTTTATGCCAGGCAGTAGCAATTCCCCAACAACAGATGTGCAAAATTTAGCAAAGCAATTGTCTTTTTCAAGAATTATTAGTTATTTTAATAATTCACTCAGATTGAGTACAGTAGAACCCAGATTCTTCTTATCTTAGGTTTTTAAGTCCACACCAAAGATGAATGTTTGCACTGTATTCAAGGGTAATCTATAGCCACATCAAAAGCTATGTGGGGCCTTGAAGATGTTCCAACTATTTGCTGCAGCTTCTTTGAAGGGTACCCTTTCTCTGTTCAGGTGTGCAGGACTAGTGCTGTGTTCCAGTTGAGTGGGGAAATGGTTGAGTGGGGAAATGGTGTTCTTTGAAGTCAGTCAGACCAAGCAGCTGAGTGACAGGTTCTTAATTTGGCACCCTGCTGCAAAATAAGTGAGTTGCAAATCATCCCTATATGAAAAATCTGGGTTTTACTGTAATCTCATTTCAGCTGCTTGGTCGCTGTACACTCTTGAAGATAACAGATTCTCTGAGATTTAAGGATCTTCTTGCATTCCAGAAAATTGTGAAACCAAAACAAATGAAAAGTATATAAAAACTGTCTGCTTCTGCTGCAGGTGTTACTCTTTTGCTGACATGCCATGGTACCAAAGCAAAATAGCTGCAGTGCTATTTGCTACACCACCAAGCTCCACCTATGAAGAGGTACCACAAACAAATATATATATTTTTTTATGTAGGCTTTTCTTACCAAAAATAAGGTGCCACTAAGAATAGCAATACTTGCACTAATAAAACTCACATCACAGAGCCTGTCTCGTTCCTGATGCTGCTCCTCTCCTGTCTGTGGCCCTATCCTAGCCAGGGCTGGGGCAGAGCCCTAGTATGAGATGGGTGCACTGGGGATCCTGGGCTAAGCAGTGGCAGCCTGAGAAACCCAAACTGTAAGTGATAGCTTTGTGGCTGATAGGACCAGGTGTCAGGAGCTGAAGGACCCCAGAGCAAGTGGAATGCAAGGGGCTCCTCTCAATTCTGCTGTCCTGGCTGGGGCTTGGCTCTTTTTGCAGATGCCCCTACTCCAAGCACTGCACAGAGTCAAGCATTAGCCCAACCCTAATGATGCTGGGAGAGAGACAAAAGTGGGTGTTATTTTCAGCTTTAGGCACGGTTGAAAGGAGCTGGGGAGGCAACAGAGGACTGATTGGAAGCAGGAGCTTCACAGTGGGTTGGGGCTTAGGAGGTGGTGGGGAGCAGCAGAGGGCTTGGGCCCGGGGAGGGAAAGTGCAGGCGGAGCTGGGCAGGGCTGCGCAGGGCATATCGGGTGAGAGGTGCTGGGCGGGAGCTACACAATGGGGGCTGTGCTGGAGATATTGTGCAGTAGGGGGAGTTGGGAGCAGTAGTGCTGCAAGTGCAGCTAGTCACTGCCGGGCTCCTGTCCCAAGATGCCTGGCATGGGGTCCCACCCTAGAGCCCGTTTTGGGTACCAGTACTCCCTCTAATCGCTGGGGTAGGCAGGTGGGAGTGGTAGCCTTATTGCTGGGGCTCTGGCTTGGAAGCCAGCAGCTGCCTCTGCTAGCTTGGCAGGTGTGTCTAGTGCCATTGGGCATCCCGGCCTGAGCTGCCCTCTGCACCTGAGCTGGACGGGACCAAGGGACCTGCCATGAGCTGGATAGAATCTCTCACTGGGCCGGCCATGTTTTGCCCACCCCTGCTCTAGTGTTGTGTGTCCACGTTGATTACTGTCGGATCCTCCAGGTTGGAGTACAGGAGGGGGATAGTGTAGTAATGTAGTGTAGCAATGTTTTACATTTGGTAACTTAATGATCACTTATAATTCTGTAGACTAATTTCAGTAGTACTTTATGTGTTCCACATTAACCAATTTGCTGTGTGTTGATATTTTATAATCTATAATTACAATAAAACCTACAGTTCTAGGACAGGTAATAGAACATGATATTTTTGGTAAGGACTTCAGAAGATTTTGCAACAGATCTTAAAGATTCTGATTTTCTATTTATAGACGAAAGATCAGGAAAAATACATAAAAGAAAAAAATAGAAATATCCTAAGCAAATGATACAGTTTTTTCTTTAAAAAAAAAAAAAATACTAACAAATTTCAAGCTTTGCCCTGGCTACATTTTTAAATGCATAATTTTGTTATTGATTAATATAGATATCTATATATCTATAGATATAGATTTATATCTCTCTTACAATGCTCTCTGTTCTGTTGACAATGTATAATATCTTTTGATTTAAAAAACACGGCTTTCTTAAACAATTGAGTGTTCTCACAAGTAAACTGACTTCTGGTTTTAAACTTGTGTTTCTAACCGTGGGCTCTCTTTTTTGTTTTGTTTTGTTTTTCCAGGCCCTTCACTACTTTCAGATGGCTGAAAAAGGTAGCTTTTGTAGAGTATCTTGTCTGTAATATGACTAAACCATTTATCAGAAGCATGCAAGCACAGGGTTTAAATGCATTGTAACATGTTGACTCCTGATATGTACTCCCAAGACCTTTGCACTAGTCAGTCTGTTAGACCTAAGTTTAGAATTCCCAGTTTATGGAGTGGGGCAGCATTGTTTTCTTCAGGGGTGGCTAACCCACAACATGTGTGCCACAGAAGTGCAGCTTCTGTGTGTGCTGTGGTAGATATGGGAGGGAACAGAAAGCAGAGCAGCAGATGGGGCTGGGAGCAGAATGCAGAACAGCTGATCAGGGAGGAGAAGGGTATTGAAGTGCCACTCAGTGCAGAGGTGGGGCTTACCTTGTGGCACACCTGCCAAAAAGGTTGGCTGTCATTGTTTTACTTGCTAGTCTTCAGCTTAATTACATAGTTCTCAAAAGGCATCATAATGTGGCATTGCTGTATATCATTTGTAGGAGAGCAGTATTGCCAAGCACTTTCTGGCATTTCTAGTGTGGGCAACCTTTAGAGAAGAAAAAGGCAGAGTTGGTTCAAAGACCACTTGTCCAGTACTCGTATGTAGAACTGGTAATTTTTTGAGAGAGACCAGTTGGAGAGAATTCCTGCAGAAAGTCTCCTCAGCTCTCCGTTTCTATGAAGTGAATTAGGAGGCATGTAATCTAACCAGAATCAGTATGAGAGTTCTTATTTAAGGCAGCAGTTCTCAAGTAGGGTGCTGCACGATCCTTTTAAGGTCGCCATATAATATTGGCACTGTAAGGTGTGCAAACGCCTATGCATGATTTGCATGATAAATCCAAAGATTTCAAAGAGGAATCCATCATGTCAGAAACATTCTGACCTGTTGTGGTTTTTCTGAGTTCTTTGCAACAGAGGAATTGCTCCATTAGACTGGTTTTCAACCAGGGGTCTTGAGATTCTCTCAAGGGTGCCATACTGTGTTAGCACTGTTAAGTATGCAAACCTAATTCACAAGATAAACCCAGGGATTTCAAATAGGAATCCATAGTTTAAAAAAATATTCTTACCTGTTTTAGCCATTCCAAGTTGTTTGCAGTTTTTAAAACTACTGTTATTTTTCTGTAGTTAAAAAACAAGTAAAAACTAAGAACTGACATGTTTGAAGGGGGTGGCTTCAGTCTGAGAGTTTGAGAACCACTGTTTTGTTTTGTTTTTGGGGGGGTTTTTGTAGTTAGAAAAGCTATGGAGGGTACCCTGTAGCACTCTTAAAAGGATCTCACAACAGCCCAGTTAAGAGCTGGGATTTTCTGAGGGGTGCCTTGGTTATAAAAATGTTGGGAACTGCTCATTTTAAGGCATTAGTTCAAAGGTATGTAATATAAATAAAACTGGGAGTATACTGTCCCCTGGACAAAAAGACAGTCAAATTGTTTTCTCCTTACCTTATGTGGAGAGAGAGTGGCTGGAACCTGAGAGGGAATGTGTATTGCTCTTTTAAATCCATACTAGCTGATGCTGAATGTTAGTCTGCCCACCTATAGCTTTATTCTGTCAAGGCTGCTTTGGGAGAAAAAACATTTTGTTTCAAGATTTGTACTTGGAACACTATTCTCCTATCTGTTCAAGCACACCTTCTTCCTCCTCCTCCTCCTCTACATTAAATGAGCACAGGAAGCAATGCAGCAAGGCCCCCCCAAAAAAAAAAATTGATACAAAGCAGCCAACTAGCCACAGCAAACTATAAAGCATCTGTTTTTAGGTAGAGAAAGAAGTGATCCTGGGCTGTGAATGACTGTCTGCTGTTGCTAGTGATTTTTATGAGAGAGTGCTCACATATGGCAGGGATTGACAGTATGCAAACTTAAAACACATTGCATATAAACACTGCATTAGAAGTGTGTGCGCGCCAGAACAGGAGGGAGACAAGGTTCTTTGGGTAAATCCAGTATCTTTTATTAGAACAACTCAAATAGTTGGAAAAATTCTTAGCAAGCTGTCGGGCACAAACACCCTTTGTCAGGCTGAGGAAGCGTCTGCAGATGGTCAGTGCTCTTCCTGGATGGAGTAGTAAAGCAGCCAGAGGCCAGTACGTATACAAGAAATATGCACGGATTGGATTTACCCAAAGAACTTTGTCTGCCTATGTCCTTAGACCAACACAGCTACAACCTACACCACAGTACAGGAGGGATTTTGTTATGGTGGGTGTGCAATTTCAGGAGGAAAATATTAAATACTGGATGTAATGAAAGCTTGATAACTGAAGACATCTTCATCCTATGTTCTTTTTGGTGCCTATTAAAAGAAGGTAAACATACATTTCTCTACAGTTTGAGCAGCCATGTAGCCTCTGATTTGTCCCTCCTTTAAGGACATGTTCAGATGTTACATTTGTAGTGCTACAAATGTACACACAGTGTACACACCTGTGTAATGGGGTGTATCAAAGAAAGATAAATTGAGGAAGGGCACAGAATGCTGAATAGCTTGTTCAACAGCTCTCCTAACTACACAGATGGTCCAATAAAGACATCACAAAAAAAATCCTTGCCTTTCATGCATTTCCTGGGCCATCCTGGCTACAACAACATTGCATCTTCTTAATCAGTGGGGGGAAAATAAATTTTCCCCCTACCTGATTTAATAATTTGCATTTTAGGGTTTTTCTTTAATTTGTGTTTGTTCATGCTCAAGGGAAAACTGAAAGATGCAGGAAAAGGTTGTAATCTATGAACTTCATAATGATAGCTCATTGTTTGGCAGTTCTAAGCATTAAAAGGTGCAACTACAAATTGGAGTTCTAATATCAACTTTGACTATCTGGCTGTTTTCAAGAAAGAAAAATCTCAAAATGAATTAGAAGATGATTGCCTTTTTAAAAAAGAATGTAGTCTTTGAAAATGAGGTTTTGACTGAAGCCAATGGCCTGCATTCTTTCCTCTGTTCTGCAGTCATGAACCCTATTCAGTGGGATTTCATGGATGTAACCAGGAATGAAATTTTGGCATTAAGACTGGTTAACAGTGCTAGATGCACTGAAAATAGGTTTTTTGATTCTTTTTATTACAATAAAGGGATTCTTTCTTGAGTATCTATGTATATTAAGGCAGGTAGCAGGTCTGATTTTTAGAGCAAGGGTTTAGAATAGGCACACCTTTTGTTCTGGACTCAAGTTTGCTGCTGACCTGTGCATCTTGGAGAAGCTGTGTGAAGTCTGTCTTCCTGTTTGTGATTTGGAGAGCATGGCGATGACACTTGCCTGCCTTTCATGAAGTGTTTCTGATCTCCAGGTGAAAGGTGAACAATTTGAGTATGATCATTGTTCTTATATCTCTCTAATACTTAGAGAAAACAGTTTCTGCCCAGAAAGGTTATGCTGTAAATTTTGTGAACAAAATAAGTGTTAATTATAGACAGTAGAGGCTACTAATAATATTTTGAAACAGAGTTTCCCTCTGGTAACAAGAGAAAAAATTATTTTTAATATTACTAGCCAATTGCCTGTCAAGAATGATTGGGGGAGGGGGCAGCAGGAAGGGATGCCCCCCCTCAGTCCGGGCCAGCTCTCCCCTTCCCTCCTGCTGCTTGGGGTCCAGGCCCACTCCCCCGCCTCCCCCCGCCCTCGCTGCAGTGGCAGGAGAGGGGAGGAATGGGCCTGGGCCCAATGCAGTAAATTATTTTTAATATTACTAGCCAATTGCCTGTCAAGAATGATTGGGGGAGGGGGCAGCAGGAAGGGATGCCCCCCCTCAGTCCGGGCCAGCTCTCCCCTTCCCTCCTGCTGCTTGGGGTCCAGGCCCACTCCCCCGCCTCCCCCCGCCCTCGCTGCAGTGGCAGGAGAGGGGAGGAATGGGCCTGGGCCCAATGCAGTGGAGGACTGGGCCCGAGTGTGGGGAGAAGGCAGGCTGCCATGGGGGTGGGGGGAGAGAGAACCCCGCCCCCCCCCCCCCCCCCCCTGCCACAATGGGCCAGCTTCTCCCCCAGCTCGGTCTCGCTCCTTGCCCCCCCCGTTCCATCCACTCCGTTGCCGCCACCTCCAGGGAGTAGGACTTGGGGGGAGGCCAGCACAGGCTTTTATAATATTAGAATTATTTATTTATTATTTGCAAATGTATGCGTCAACACCTCCTTTCATCTGGTTTATGTAAATGTTTTCTATACCTCCTCTGGCACGAGTGGCACCAGTGTTATCCCTGAGCAGTGCTCGCATATGGAGCTGGGGATAATAAGTCTATAAGGTGTCATCTAACCTGCTTCCTGCTAGGGATAGAAAAGAAGAAAACTTTTAGCCAACTCCAGTGGTTCTTAAGGAGTCTAAGCTGTCACCTTGTATAGCATAGTGGCAGTAGAAACAAGGGGAGGGGAGCCATGGCTGCTGCCTATGAATTGCCTCCATCTTTATATTGAATTCACACTGAATTCTCACATTGCAGAGAACCAGGAAATAGCAAGAAAAACCCTCATATTAGTCTAGGGTGAATGGTTGGCTTCTCTTTTGAGCTAAACATAAAAGAGCTGTAAGGTTTTTTTTTAATATCTGTTTCAGTACCTCATAGTGCATAGTGGGTGTGGCATCCAGTACAGACCACTATAGTTTTCATTGAAAACAATGTATGGACCAGACAAAAGGGTAAGCTGTCCTTGTCTAAAATCACTATAAACAATGAAGTAACAATACAAATGTATTTTTTTTCTTCTGTCTCCTCAAAAAGCTGAACCAAACTTCTACAGTAAAAATTTGCTGTATCTAGGGAAGACATACTTGAAGTTAAACAACAAAAAGATGGCCCTATTGTGGTTAACAAAAGCCAAGGAATATCCAGCACACACAGAGGAGGATACACAGGTAGGAAAAATAAAAACTGTGTGAAAAGTCCTGTGATATTTCAGTGGATATGTTCATATGTAAAAACAATTTCAGACTAAAATGAAGTCTGTAGCTATGCTTGGATTGCAGCAAATCCTGTTGCTTTAGTACCTGCACGTCTCAGAAACATTAATTTTTCATTAATTTAAATTGTGTTCCTTACATGGTATTTTCTGGCATTAATGCTTAGTAATTCTTAATTAATGGTACTCTCGCAATTAAAAAGAATCCAGATTGTTGTTGGAACCAACAAGACATTGACACGTCTGAGATTTGTGAGGGGAACTCTTAAGAGAGTCTGATCTGGGAACAGATTGAAAATGGAATAAACCAGGCTTTGATGTAGAATCAAGTGGTTGAACAAAGCTGAGTTAACCATACACAGTCATTATGCCTTTATTCTTGTTGATGACGGTATACTTTGGAGCCACTCATCCAGTTAGACCTCTCATGCTAAAGGAGTGAATGCTGATTACTTCACAATGTTCAGAAAGTTGTCATGTAAACATGCATCTTCTGAAAGCAACTATAGCAACTGCCAGGTTTACTGATGAGCTGAATGTCTTGAGTACAGGGCTCAATACAATAACTGCTGTTTGGCTCTAAAACCTCTGGCTTGATTATGATCGAAACATAAGAGAGCAAAGTACATAGTGCTGTTTTTTATGGTAGCTCCTATGAATGCATGCTTATTTTATTATATTTATGTTAAATATGTAACAGAAACGGTACAGTCAGCAAATGAAGCATTATAGTTAAGGGACTGAGTTTGGAAATGAGAAGTCTAGGGTTCCATTCATGGTTCTGTCATAAATGTTCCATAGGTAACTACTAAACTACCATGCCCCAGTTTCTTTCTTTTGGTAATTAAGATTGCACTTTTAAGCACAGGGTGCTTGAACCACATGGGGATGAGTGCTATAGGAAATCTTATGAATAAATAGTACTACTGTTTTGTAGTTCTTCATGTTATATTTTGCCTTCTATTTTAGGTACAAAAAGAAGCTGTGGAACTGCTCAATTCTATATGACAATAACTAAAATACTAAGAATCAAATAAATTGTTTTCCTTTAATTGGACTAAACCAAAGGGAGAACAAAATTGGACCCATTCCACTTGTGGCTGTTAATAAAGCTAGTTGCCTGAACACCATATATCTTCAGGTAGAAGCTGCTGTCAACTAATATTTGCATTTTATTCTGTATGTACTAAATGGGGTTTAGTGCCTGTTGCTTGAGTACATTCGTATTGGATGGGAACAATTTTCAAAATGGATTCTGTAGAATGATACTGTTCTTAATGTAGCTCAAGATACCTTTGTGTTCTGGTAGCATCTTCATGAGCCATCAGGATAGGTCAGTGGTTGTCAACCAGGGATACACATACCCCTAGGTGTACTTAAAAAGGTTATAGGGGGTATGCAGAACTGATGTGACCAATAATGTGGCCAATTAAAAGCTGCATGTGTGCATGCAGCCACAGTGCTACATGCAGGCAGCTAGGATGCAGCCCAACAGCGTGGAAAGCAGCTGGGTCGGCTGGTAAGTCTGTTGTGAGGGAAAGGGTGTGGGGGAGGGAATGGGGCTGCCCAGCTGGAGTGGGGCGGCTCCCACCGCCATGTGCAACCCAGGAGTGCATGAGGGCCGTGTGTCCCTGGAGCTTTGTGTGGGTTGGAGTGGGCTGCTGCTGCAAGTTGAAGCTGGGTCTGTGCTGGGCTGTTCCCGGCGGGGGTGTTGGGCTGGGCTGCGCTCCGGGCAGGTGGTGGCAGCACTTGGAGAGGAGGACCGGGGTGGGGTGGGGAGGGCTACAGTGAATTCTGAAGTGGCTGCAGCCCCCCCTCCTGTGCATATAGTGGGAGGAGCTGCCACCCACTCCCTCGAGTGAACCGCTTGTGGCTCCATCCCACACTCCACCCCGACTGTACAGCCCCAGCCCCACTACCTCCCTCACTGCAGGGGCTTCAATCTGCACCCCCCTCCCCACACGTAAAAACAAGGAAAAAAATATAAAGGAATACATGAGCTGAAACTGAGACAGGAGGGTTACACTTGTTGAAAACCCCTGGGATAGGGGTTCTACGCAGATGTAGACATGTTCTCACCCCTGAACCCATAAGCCAAACTCTTAAAAAACATTTTTTTTAAAAATGGTATATGGATTTTTTTCTGGAGGGAGGTTGTAGAGCCAGGCATTTGCAAGTTTATACACGTTTTGTTTTGTTTAAGTTGTATTTTCTACATTGCATGGTCATGATACTTTACTGATAGCTGGCTCTTTTAAAAACAATGAGGAAGAAGAGATACTAGTAGCCTTATGTGGACTGGTTCAGAGGAGACATTTCGCGCATGAAAGGGTTGGGGAAATGTTGAAGAGCCTGTACATGGCATGGAGGAGGAAGAGGAAGACAGGTTTGAAAAATAATTTATGATAAATGGAATAGTGAAGGAGGCAGATCTGTGAAGATTTTAAAGGTTTGATACTGATTTTTCAACGTAAAATCACGGGGATGATCCAGTATCAGTCTGGGTGGCACCTTAAACCTAAAATATGATACTGTACCACTTCCATCCTTTTATTGCATCATGGCAGTTCCAGTCTAATAAGAGGCTTTTTACCTGCAGTTACATTGTGTGTCTTTTGGGTGCTAAGATAAAACATGTTTACTGTATAGTAAACTGACTTTACTATGGGGAACAGACATGATGCGCAGCATAGGATCAGGAACACAAGCGATTTCATAATCAACAGAATTCAAACTTGTGCAGGGAAACCCCAGTGAAATTAAGATCAGTGGCCTTAACCACATGGCCACAACTGCCAGGAGCACACTGAAGTAAATCCTTTGAATCCAAGGTAAAGTTACCCCTTGAAAGATATGTAGTATTTTTAGTAACTTCCCATGTATTATGTGGAACACGTGCATCCAGCCATCCACTCTAGTTTGCTTCTCAGGGAGTCATTTGCTCAGTGCAAACTGCCTACCTGCCATCTAATGGCCAGTTGCTTGAATAGCACTCACTGCAAGCAGCTAGCTTGGCTGAATTGATCTTTTTACTAAGGAGAAAAATCTGAGGTAAATTACTTTAATTTTATTGCATGTCCACCATTAGTTAGAGATACTAATGATGGCATACTAAAAAGTAACTACTGCAGCATTTGTCTGGGGCTTCTGGTACTCAAGAATGAGAAGTGAAGTTTTGGCCCTGGTTCTTGACTACCAGTTGGCAGCTGAAGCTCTGGGTTGGAGAAAGAAAAAAGTAATTTTGCTTTACTTTCACTACTTGAGCAGAGGTTAGTAAGTGAGAGAAGAGACAGAGTTTTGAATGTCTTACTAATATCTTATTGGCAGCTAACTGCACCCTCCCAGTGGAACTGTAACTAAGAAACTTAGCTGCATTTTTTCAGTGAAACAAACACAACACAGTCTTTAACAGGCTTGACAGTTAAAGCATCTTCATCAGACTTTGAATTTTATGTGCTGAGATCAGGTCCATCAACTTTCACCCCTGTGCACCAAATGCAACAAACAACTGATGTGGCCTGATGTGCTATAGCAGACTACTAATAGCAGTTTACGTATGTTCTTCTTCTGCATACCTACTAACAAACAAACACGTGCTTTTAGCAGCTGCTTTTTAACATGGGTAGTAGTGGTCTTATTTCACTTTTACAGTAAGGGAAGCGTGATACAGAAAAATTGAAGCCAAACTACCTTTCAGAATCCAATATCTAGTGTGAGAGAGAGAGCCTGATATTTCTAGATTACATTAGTATAGTAGGTGTTCAGCCTAAAATTCTAACCCGTGGTCTACAACCTTTTTAGATTCAAGGCACCCCTCAGAAAATACCAGCTCTTAGCTTTCACTCTTTTTAAGAGTACTGAAAAATAATACAACACACACACCGTGAAAAGGCAGGATGTGTATGACACCATTGTTTCCTTATTTGTCTTGTAAATCATTTGTAGAGGTTTTCACACCTAATAGCAAGAATATTGTGCTGCACTCTCAAAAGGATCTCATGGCACCTTTCTTGGGATTTACTAGTATATGCACTTTCAGCTGGAGTTGTGAGAACTTCACAAGTAGAGAAATCTAGTTGCAAATGCCTTTTACACTGGGTTCCCAGAATCAGGAAGCACATACGTTATCAGATGCATATGCTGCGGTGGGTCTTGCATCATGTTGCCACAACATTCCTAAGGCAGGATGATCCAGGTCTTGAGGGAACAGTCAGCTTAACCATGATATTTAATTTTCTTTCTGCAGTCACATGATGTTTTCTCTACCCTATAAGCAGGGCTGTCCCTGGGGTGGGATGAATTAGGGTTAGTGCCCTGGGCCCTACACTTTGGGGGGGCGGGCCCTGTGGTCAGTGCCACATACACCCTGCCATGGCCGCCATGCACTGCCGTCAAATGCTGCTGGCTCCAGCCGCTCACGTCCCCTCCCCCCAGGCCCCACACAACCCTAGGGACAGTGTTGCCCATCAGGCAAAATCCTCTTTTACTATCCTCTTTTACCCCAACTTGTTCTCAGAACCCAGTTAATTTTGGACTGAATAAAGCAGAGGTCTGAGCAAATAATACGTATACTCACATTAAGATAATTATCATGCATATGTACTAGTGTCATACAGGCAACCCCCACATCATGCTCTTAATTGGTTCCTGAAAAACTGAGCGTTAAGCAAAACTGAAAGTTTCTGATGATCCAAGATGGCAACCGCAAGTGTTTTTAATGACCCAAGATGGTGACCATAAGCATTATAATGAAGCTCGCTGAGTGGAAAAGTAAAGTGAGCAAAACGCTGGCTTGCATCCACAGATGCTTCTCAAGCAGATCCCAGGATGTCATTCTCCCGCTGTACTCAGCCTTGGTGAGGCTGCAGCTGGAGTACTGCGTCCAGTTTTGGGCTCCACAATTCAAAAAGGATGTGGAGAAGCTTGAGAGAGTGCAGAGAAGAGCCACGCGCATGATCAGAGGTCAGGAAAACAGACCGTATGAGAGGCTAAGAGCCATGGGACTCTTCAGCCTGGAAAAGCGCAGGCTTAGGTGATCTGGTGACCACCTACAAGTTTATCGGGTGCTCACCAGGATCTGGGGGAACGTTTGTTCACCAGAGCACCCCAAGGGATGACAAGATTGAATGGTCACAAACTCCTCCATGACCGTTTCAGGCTGGACATAAGGAAGAACTTCTTTATTGTCCGAGCCCCGAAGGTCTGGAATAGACTGCCACCAGAGGTGGTTCAAGCACCTACACTGAACACCTTCAAGAGACATGTGGATGTTTATCTTGCTGGGATCCTGTGATCCCTGCTGACTTCCTGCCCCTGGGGCAGAGGGCTAGATCCGATGATCCTCCGGGGTCCCTTCCAGCCCTAGGGTCTACAAAGTCTATGAATCAGGTATCAATTTAAAATGAGTGTTATAGCGAAATAATGCTAAGCAGAACAGTGTTACGTAGGGGTTTCCTATTTTATTCAGAGTCTAATGTTTGCATTTTCTGATTTTTGAATTTGATTGCAACTTCATGAGAGAGAAATTCTATGAAGTCCTACCATAATGCACATCAGCATCGCAGTTTAGGAGCACAGACCCACACAACAGGCCTCTGGCATCTGAAGGCTAAAGTACTTGGTTAATATAGTAAGCAGATTATGTAGAGGAATCACTGGAGGGAATGACAAACTGCTCCAGTGGGTTTCTGAGCTATTCTGCAACAGTAGATGAGTGCACTCAGGATCCTTAGTTCAACTACAAGTTTCAGTTTTTTCCCATCCCAAAGCTTTGCATCTCATTTCTCCCCACATCCACCTCCCAGAACTCTTCCCTGCTCCCGTGCTTTCCTCATTCTGCTCTTGTTCTCTTTGCCTCATCTGTTTTTCACACCTTTTAGCTCCTCCAGCTCTTCCAGTTTCCATTTTAGGTTAGGCAAGTTCCTCCCATCTGCCTACGCACCAGTGTGGGTGTGATGACAGCAGAACCAGTCTCCCTTTTGTTCTGGTGCCGACCACGGTGGTGGTGCCACGTAGCACATGCAGGGGATTGTCCTGTTCAGCCTAGTCTCAGATAGGAGCTGTAAGATGAGGCACATTTACTGCAGATGGATTTTTTTTGGAGAATACAGCTTCCAAGCTAACGTGTGCTCAAGGATTATTTTCGTTTTTTGTTAATTGTGTTGGCTTTTTTGCCCAAAGGGTCATAATTTACCAAGTTTGGGGCAGATGTTTATGGGAAATGACACATCTCTGATATGAGACCAGACCTCATCCAAATGTTAAGTCTCTGCTTTGAAGCACAGGGGCATAGAGCTTCAACCTTCCCCCTCCCAAAAAGTACCAGTTCATCAAAATAGACAAAGCAGTATTGTTCTCTTTGATCCTTCTCTTGAAACAATGGAAACATTTGTGCTCACTTTCCAAAAACATTAGCCTGAGACATCCACATGAAAAATTGTAGACTAAGTGGCTAATTCTACAACTGAAAATAGTTACATGATGAAAAGTATTGTGTCACTTTACCTATAGGTGTTCCTATAGGTGAATGTTTAGATTGCAGACTGGATGTATGTGGGATGCTGGTAATATCTCTCATCTTTTCATCAGCAGATTTTAAAAGAGCTTTGCAAGAGATCACTGTCATGCCCCTTTTATAGACAGCAAAATAATGACCAGCTTGTCACCCAGCAAGCTAGTGCCAAAGTCAATAGAAGCCAGGCCTGTTCCAGTACATAACAGTACCTTTTATCCAGTTACATGTTGAAAAACTAATCAAAAGGACATTTTCTTATTGTAGGAATCTGAAGAATAGAGGCCATATTTGAGGCAATCATTATGTTTAGTAAGATACTAAAGCACCTTTTCAATTTGGCTGTCCCACATCTGGGCCTCAGACCAGTATCCCAGCTGCTGGTGGCACAAACTCTAATGAAGCTTCCCTATCACTCATCCAAATTGCAGCCTCAACCCAGTTTTTCAACTTTTGGTCATCCCATGCTTCAGGGGCTCCCAGCTCCTCAGCCTTTTCTCTAAAAGGGAGTGGTATGTATTAGTGAGACTGGACATCCGTCAAAGGAACCTTGGAGTAGAACTAACTTAGTTGCTGGGGAGAAAGAATCAGAAAGAGCCCAGATGCTAAGTCAGCTCCCATAAAACATCACTTATTCCACTCTACCTCTCACCACTGTGGAAGAGAATCAATCTCTCATTGTCTCACCTAACTGGTACAAGCTTCTCTGAACCTTTTTGGATAGGGTAGGATATAAATAATAATCTGGAATGTGTTGTGTAATACAGTCCACATGAGCTATGAGTTAAACAAACAGAATCCTTGTTACAGACCTCTGAATATACTTGTGCAATAGCACTGAATTTGCTGCTGCTATTATTCTGAAACGTAAATGCTTTTATACTTTATTTTTCCATTGTTCTCCAAGCTGGTTCATATTTGTTTTATTTAGTACCTTGATGAAGCCTTGAGGTCCTCTTCCTTGTTTTGCTTGAATTTTGACCAAGGGTTGTTCCTTTACTACTTCGCTTCATGAAAATTATGGGATCCTGGAAGACCGCTACAGTTGTGGAAATAATAAACAAAGTCTGTTTTGTGATGTGCTGTCCTTGCTTTTTTATTTTGTTCACTTACAGATTCACAAGATTCAGCAGTTTGCAGTGGGGTCACCCAGGCATTCAGTAGTGCAAATTAATGAAGTTCAGCTGTACTATTCTTAGCCTTCTTCAGTTGTTGCTTATGCAAATCACATAGATTTTCCAGCATCTTAAGTCAGTCTCCAATTTAATTGACAGATGGAATTTATTATCATTTAAGTGAATTTCCACCTTAAATGTATTTGTGTACTGCGTATTTGATGAAAACAGCTCTACGTAGTATGGTAGAAGAACTTGAGTGATGAAAAGTCCTGCTGTTGGGTAGTTACTATACAGGAAAGCAGTCTGAGCCAATCAGAATCACTGCTTTTATCAAAGCCAGTTGCAGGTTAACAGCTCCACAGTTAAGTTGTGCATTTTGAAAAACAAAGCATAAGAATCCAATATGTAGAAAAATAAAGTTTGGCAGAATTCAATTGCTATATTGAAAAGATACAACAACAGGTATAGCAGTATTTTTCTGCACATACACTTTTAGCAGTGCAATACGATAGCTATGTTACAGAAATGTTTTAATCACATTCTAAGAAATCAGGTTTGTGTGTACAAAATTTTGTATAAGTTAAATTTATAATGGAATTTACAGTGAATATTGAAAGCATGATACAAATGGTAAGATTCAAAATGTTCTCTGTAATAAGGAAGCACAGTTTGTTAAAAGTAGCGTTTAATAATTCACATGAGTAAGATTTTTATTATTTGTTAAACATTTTTGCAGTTCAGCAAATGCCCTCAATACTGATAAAACACCTTTAAAATTAAATTGTATGTTATTATGCACATAGGACAAACCTGGCCTATGTAAAAGAATGACAAGATTTAGACAGATATTTAATTTGGGTACACCCAAATTTAAAGGGATGATAATATTTAATACTAAAAGAAAATTAGTATTTGTTTAATTGTGCAAGGTTTATGTAGCTATCATTCAATTTGGGTTTTCCAGATCTATAACAAAAACTGAACATGAATATAAAAGCAGCAGAAGTTCATATCTTTCACATATTCTTCAAATTGCATTATTTACCCTACGTAATTTAAGTACATCACAGATTTAAAGAAAAAACAAACCTGTAAGACGCCAGACCAAGAGAGAACATGTGAGTTTTTTATTCTTTTCTCTTTACCTAATATACTCTTGGTAATAATCCAAGGTAATCTGTAAACAAATTTCAATGCTGCTCAATGAAATAAAATACTCTGTTCAGCTCCTACAATAAGTCAGAACAGTGGCACCAATTGCTTGAAACATTAATCACATTCATCTTATTGAACATTACTCCTGTGCAAGTAATAAAGGCTTTATTCATGACCTTGACTACATAAATGTAGGAGAGGGATATCAGTTATTTTAGGTATTTAAGAAAAAATTAAACTGACAGAAGAAATTCTGTCATCTCAAAAGCCAGCAGCATTTTTCTACATATTTAAGATACGTTTGGCCTAAGCCTTTAACACCTTTTGGAACAGCCATGCAATAAAACAACCTTGGAGATGTTTCATGAATGAGAACACAGAGCAGTCTGCACATTTTTTCTGAATAATAAAGCCAAGATAAAGCAATCCAGGCCCTTTTAAATGGCTGCAATGTTTCATACACTTAAAGCTCTATAAAACTAGAGCCCACCAGTATATATATTCAAATATATTTTTTATATATATATATATATGTATATATATATATATATATACATATATAGTTTAAATAAAGTCTCTTGTCCACTTTCAAAACTTGATTTTTTTCCTGGTCTTTTGAGGGGCAATAAATAAAGTAGAAAAGGCTGAACTGTTTTGCATATCTCTGTGGAAGAACGGCGAACATTTCTACTTTAGAGTTCCAGAAAGATCACTGTACAGAACAAAAGCTTATATACAATCACGTGTGCAATTTTAGTTGGCTGGGCCTTTTACTAATGCAAGATCTCCTCTTTGCCCAGAAGCCCCTTCTACTCTTGACCAAATCCTTCGGTCTCTTCAATTGCAAAAAGCAGCTTCTCTTTCAGCTGTTCATAGCTTTTATATGGCGGCAGATCCAAACGATTAAAGCTGGAAGAGAGACAAAAAAGAGGTCTTACAATCTGTCCAAAACCCATTTAGCATTTTGTCGATTACAATTTCTTCTTTTAATATTAAAAAAATTAAACATTTAATTTAAGGTAGGACATTCAACATATTCTGAACTAGGAGTGACCTAATGAGGTCTGGCAGTCAATGGAATTTTATTAAATTTAGATTATATTATGATTTAATTATATTAAGATTATTAATACCTTAATCTGTATAATAATGGGCAAGTCAGTTACCAACTGCTTTGCTGGGGACAAGTATTTTCAGATCCACAAATAAATACATGTGGCCTCTTTTCTCAAATCAATGTTGGGCATGGTTCAAATGTACATAACTATAATTATGTTATGAAAATTTGGAGTGTATTTGGAGCACAGTTCACACTTATGTGGACCAGCCTTCCTGAAAGGGGGAGGTTTATTCAGTTACAGGGTTCTTTGAAATTTAAACTATAGAGATAATATTGTAAGATTAAAAATATCTGGCTGCCTTCATTCAGTGCATTCAAAACGTTTATTAGCTAATCCCTAAATCACTTTATGAGCCTTCAATGAAGGATATGTAATCTGATCAACTACTGTATTCCAGATGTGTAATGACCAGGATCTGCTCCTTTTACACATCCCTATATGAACAATTTCAGGCATATACCAATTCTATGGTCGCCTGTAAACACACATAACTTCCATGAAGCCTGCCTGACTGAATCTCACTTTTTGAGGAAGGTTCCAACAGAACCAAGAGGCCATTTGAGATGACCAAGAGGTTTCAAAAGCAAAAATGGATAAGTTTTCAGACCGTCCTTGAATCATTGGGGGGAAAGGATGAATCATAGAAGAAGTCTGCTACATAAAACATCTATTATGAAGAATGGTGGGGTCTTCATTTGAAATACTGATCGAATTCTGGCAGCAGTAGAAAAAGCTAATGTTTTTCTGTCCATCACATACAACTTGTT